TTTAGTAGTTTACATTTTATTTTTTAAAATAATATAAGAAGTAATGTGGTGGCGGGAGACATTACTGTAGTAATAGTAATAGTAATAGTAATAGTAATAGTAATAGTAATAGTAATAGTAATAGTAATAGTAATAGTAATAGTAATAGTAATAGTAAAGCTATAATAAAGCTATATGGTTTGGGAAGTAATTAATGTTACAATTAATTACCAACATTATTATTATTACTAGCTACAAATATAAAATAACCACAACATCCTTTACTATATTAAAAAAAAAAAAAAAAAGCACAACATTTGAAAAATAAAATAGCTATTTTTTTCTCACAATTAATTACCAACATTATTATTATTACTAGCTATAAATATAAAATAACTACAACATCATTTACTAAAAAAAAAAAACAACATTTAAAAAATAAAATAGCTATTTTTTCAGGCCGTGGGTCAATTATTGGACTTCAAAATAAAAAAAAAAAATCATTTGAGCCATAAATAAAATTATAAATATATATAAATGTATATATCGTATGGGTCTTTAATGTTTTTCTAAATTTCTAAACTTAGGACTTTTAAAAGAAAAAAAAATGCATTTGAATTATCTCCACAAAAAGTGGTCTTGGACTTATAGAATGACATTTGGGTTTATGGAATGACATGTGCATAAAGAATATATTATATAATCATATAAAAAAAATGTGTTCAATTAGAGTTTAAATTTACTCATACAAAATTTAAAATTTGCTTTCTAAATGTAATTATCTTAGTTATTATTTGTGAAAATTATAATATAGATGAAATATAATTAAGAAAAATCAATGTAATTATGTAAATTCTCTCTATAAGTTTATTTGAATATGTACATAATTAGAGATTATATTAACCATATAAAATTTTAATTTTAATTTTAATTGTAATTTTGTATTCTATAAAAATAATAAATACTTGACCAATGGAAGTTCAAAAATATTATTATATTAAACAATTTAGAATATTTTTATTTTTTCTATTCTTTTATTTATATTTATAATAACATAATTTTTTCTCCGTGCATCGCGCGGGTGAATTACTAGTAATAATAATAATAACAATAATAGTTAATACCCACTTTGGTTCCTCGACTAGTCGACTATAAATAAAACCCATTCTGGTCCCTCGACTATAGATAAAATGACCTTTTTGCCCCTCTCTATAACGGTGGATGGATGACAATTGTAACGGAGGACCAAATTAGGTATGATTTTACAAGTTAGAGGACTAAATTGGATACTTTTAATAGGTTGGGACTAAATTACGTATTACCTAATAATCGAGGGACCAAAATGGGTATTAACTCTACATTTTTTACTAGTACTTATTAATTTTTATACATCTATGAGCACTTGTGTCCAACAATCATAAAACCAACACCCTTAATTATATAATAAAAATATGTGATAGTAATATGTGAATTAATGTTATATCTTTCTCCCAATATTAATGGAAAAATAAAATACCAAATGAGAGCAAAGATTTCATTTTTCTAAATTTCAAAAGAATTCATTTTTCATTAAAATAAATTCTCCATCAACCAAACAAAATAAAATATGTTTTTTAATCAAATTTGATGAATAAATTCTCCCAATAATTTATTCTACCCAAACCAAAACTAGTCATTAGCAAAGTGATTGGCACACATACATTTGTTAAAACAGCCAACAAATGACCACAATGAGGTAAACTAGTTATAGTTGACCAACTCAAACTAAGAACACTAATAGGATGTTGTTACTCAGAGTCAAACTTATAATATTGTGGTTATCAAACCAAACAGTCTAACAAACATGACTAGGATTGCCCTAGCTAAAATGTAATTTCTTGTAATGTAATTGATTAGTATTGTTAATTTTATTGGGCTTCGTACAATATAAATGTCAAGACCCTCGCACTATAACCTAATGAACAAATAATAAAGATAAAATTAAACTCGGGACTTTGCGTAGTTAATTTGTTATGGATCGAAAGGTTTAGATTGAATCCTTTGTACACACATGAAAACTAACAAAGTTGCATGATCTTAGTGTTTTTCGAAAGAGGATGTGTCATCCCTTTTGCCTCCTTCACGCTTTTATGCATTTTCAAGGAATAAATACAAGTTATTGCATGATCTTAATGTTTTTAACGGTTAAATAATGATTGAACAAATAGTTATAGACATTTCTATTTAATGTAAGCGATAATTAGCATGGGTAGTAGGGTAAGGATGCATACCATGGTTAATCATCCGCTTGCCTATGAGATAGAACCTTCTCAAGCGTTTAAGAAATGGCAATAATGCATGTAAACATTTAATTTGTACTTAGTAGTTAGTACAGAATTATTGCACATTCACCACTGTTGTAAAAGACATTTCGCAACTGTTGTATAACAGTAGCGGATGTCATGGTCGCGGAAAGCTTTGGACTTTGGTCTACTAAGGACATAGAATACCCTTTGGTCTTATAGGGATGAGGATCAAAGGTTTGTACGTGGAGGATGAGGACTCTATAAGGTGGAGGACAAAGACTCTAACTTATTAAGGACAAAGAACACTATGCTAATAAGTTGAAACCAAAAATCCTACACTTGTGAGGACCATAATCACAAGTCATAAACAAAGACTCTAGTAAATTGAGGGAAATGATCCTAGTAAATTGAGGACGAGAATTCATGGACCTATCTAAAACAAGAATCAAATCGTGACAAGTTATTGACGGATAAGTGGTTCTTGTCATCCCCTCTCACCATCTCCTTTCAAGGATGCATGATGGATGCGTCTTCTTCTTTGAGTCAAGAACATGTCTACTTAGTTCTCAATCTATCCACAAATATTTTTATTGGATAATAACATTCATATTTCATTTAAAATTCTCAAGCTTATTTATATAAAATTTATCAATATTTCCGCCTAAAATTGCATCCCAATTGATAAAGTCAAAAATTTGTGCAAGAGATTGGGGCCATTTTCTTAAAACTTCTTCTATTGGCGCAACAACCTTTGGGACAAAAAGTTGAAAAGTCAAGGTTAAAGGCAAGAAGGAAGAAGAAAGCTAAGCCCGGTTCTTGGAACATCATTATTCCGCATGCAATTCCGACTACAGACCAGCAAGTCCACAATGAATAATAATGATGCCACCCACCATATTTCCACTATTATCAATCATAATAATCACACTATTTAGAGGGCAATTGGTTAAGTTAAACTTTCTGATTCAAATCAATAACTACTTGAAAGTGTATTTTGAATGAAATTTGCATTGTGATAACAATAAAATAATGGACTTAAACTAAGAAGGTCAATAAACAACTCTCACAATAAGTCAAATTTAAAATTTTATAATTACCAATCAATTATATGCCTGACCAACTCAGTCGAGATTGCCCCTGATTAAGTTAAATTAACTCCTACGTTTATAACTCCATGTGTTACTGTGTTAGTGACAGTATGATTTTGTTACATATCAGTAGTGGTTTATCCATGATTGAATTAATTTCTTCTTCTTTTAACTGTCTCCACAAAAAATATCTTTTTTCTTTTCAAAGTCAATTAAACACCAATATCTATTTATAAAAATAAACAAATCAAGCACACAACACTATTAATTGGACATTATATATATCAACTCAAAATTTTAACCTTTTGTTTTATATAACATCGTCTCACATGAGTCAAATAATACTTTTTATAAATTAACAAATATTACATTTTCATTAATACTTTTCAACGAACAATTTTACATAATTTACAATAAGTATGGTATATTTAAGATTTATCTTACATAATTTTTTTTTTTTTGTAAATACTTAATTAGAACGGAATTATTTAGTTTGGTATTCTATATAAGCTTATTATTATGATTATGAATTACAAAATCTTTTTGTAAGATTATTAGTCACGTTTTATCGCTCCTACTAAAACGAGATAATTACGAATTTAGGAGAGTCACCTAATGGACCGCATTATGAGAGTTTTATTTAATATGGTAAGATTTTCATGGACACCAAACACGAGTACTTTCGTCTAATGAAACGTTGAGCTATTACGATTTACTTTTTAGTATCTGGTCAGACTGTGAAACTTGAGAGGAGAATAAATTTCACCTTTTGTGTGTTAGTAAAACGAGATAATTAAGAATCATTTGAAAACAAAACGTCTAATCAATGTCATGAAGGGGATTGGAGAATAGTATGGAGTACTATTATACTAAGTAATTATAGAATGGAACATGTGGTAGTAGAGATAATGGTGTTGGCCTGATGGCCTCCCACCAAGCGCCAGCTCAGACGACCTTCAAAAAACACTTCAGGTGTTGAAATAATAATATAATGTTCTTCATTACCTTTCAAAAAAAAATAATGTTCTTCATTTATTAATGATTTTCCACAAAGGTGCAAATATTATCACTGCAACTTAATAAACAAATTGCTATGCGACTGATATACCATATATATTTTCTATTAATCAAATTCTAGAACATGTCCCAAGCCAAATTTGAAAAGCCTCGTAAAGGTACTAGGGTGTTTGGTAAATAACTGTTAACTAATTGAGTTAATGAGTTTAATTAGTTAATGCATTAGCTTATTGTAGAGAAGTATTTGATAATTAGTTGTTAAGTAATAACTGATTATATATTAATTAGTTAATAATTGATTATATACAAAATCATTTTTTTTAAAAGCTGATTGAAAAAAGAATTTTAACATGTTAAAGCATAAGTTATTACAAAATTGAACCATTCAAAAAGTTGATAATGGTCAAATAAGTCAAAATTAATTAATAAACTAACTATTTTACCAAACAGGGTCACAGTAGGCATAAAAAGTCGTGAGATTTTTAGTGTTTGGTGGGAAAAATGGAGGAAATTAATGTAATTTTCCATTGTAATGAAGAAAGAAAAATATTGCTATACTTTTTTACCCAAAATATAATAGTGTAGGGAGTGATAAAACTAAAAATAGGAAAGGGAAAATTGCCATGATCAGTAAAAGACAAGATTTGATCGAAGAAATCTCTGCATTTTCCCCCCAAAATCCAACCAAGAAAGAAGAAGAAGAAGAAAGCCACAACGATCTTCATCATCATCAAGAACTAATAAGTAATCTAATCTAATAACAAGCAGAAAAGGAAAGGAAAAATTGTTGTATATTCATCATATAATATATATTATTCTAATTAATAATCAGGCATGAGCTGACTGATTTTTCCTTCTTCAGCCGCCATTTTCTGCTCCGTCACTCTCAGCCATATACACACGGCGGTGAAGCTCAGTACTAAGCTCAAAAACCCGCTTCCTAACCCGATCCCGACTATGGTCAATACGGACAGCCCATTACTCTTCTTGGGCGGCAATGGGTACCCGAAAAGATCCTTGTTTCCCTCATACGAGCTGGCATTGAATCGGGGCAAGTTCCCAGCCCGGTAACCCAGCGACGCCGGTATCGGGCCGGAGAGTTTGTTGTTCGACACATCGAACACCGATAGCCGGACCAAGAGCCCCAGCTCCGGCGGGATGGGTCCGGAGAGCTGGTTGTTGTGGAGATCGATGACGTTGAGGTAGGCGCAGAGGGTGAGCTGTTTAGGGATTGGGCCGGCGAGGCGGTTGGCGGAGAGGTTAAGCACGGCGAGGTTGACCAGAAACTGAAGCTCCGGCGGGATGGGCCCCGCCAGGGAATTGGAGGACAGGTCCAAAGCCTGGAGATTCGTGCAATTCGAGAGGTACGGTGAAATGGAGCCCTTAAGGGAAAGATTGGACAGAGAAAGCTTATAGATGCGGCCATTGTTACAGGTCGCACCTTGGAGAAACGAGTTGAATCCCTGACAGGGATTAGCGAAGTTGGGTTTCGTCCAGTTCTGCAGATTACGCAACGGGTCCTCCAGTGACTGGCTGAGATAAGTCAAGCACTGCTCGTCGCTGGGATCTGCGGAGGCGGGGGAGGGAGCCGCGGCGGCGCACGTCAGAAACAGCAGCAGGAGTATCCGACTCCAGACACGACCCATCGCCGGAATGAGGGAGAGAATTGAAGTGATTTGGGGAGCAAGAATAATGGCGTGTGTGTGTGTTAAGGAATGGGTTTGTGTCGATGCTTTTGAGAATCTTGTAGTGCTGTCAGGACACAACGTTACCAGGAACACAGTGCAGAGGGAAAGAGAGTACAGTAGTGTACTTCATTATTTATTTATTCTTTCCTTTGATGGTTTTTTTTTTTTTTTTATTAGTTTATATGTACCTAGCTGGTCACTTAGTGGGTAGGGGAAGTATGGACTTGATTGGCAATCAGCGGTTAGAGGTAAAGGATTAGACTAGCGGTTAATAAATACGGAGTAGTTGATTATTTTAGCGGGTTTGACTAGCAGATTAGTATCAGCAATTTATAAAAAATTTTTGATAAAATTAAGATTAACAGTTAACATATAAAATGACCAATAAAGATATTATAATAATAAAAAATAAGTACTTTGTAAATAGAAACAATAGAAGAATAAATAATAATAAAAATAGAAACAATACAATAATAATAATTATTTATTATTATTATTATTATTATTATTATTATAAACTAACAGAAAAACAATATATAATAATAATTATTAAAAAAAAAAAAAAAAAAAGAGAGAGACAAAGGGCTCCCTTTTTATCCCACATCGAAAAAAAACAAAAGAGCGGCATTGAGGCTCCTCTATAAAGAGAAGCCTCAATGCCCCTTATTTGTGTTCTATACCTATTTGATATCCCACATTGGATGTGTATTGAAAGGAAGCCTTAAGGCTTGGCTTCCAGAATAATAATAATTTTTCTTTTATATTAAAGGTTAACAGCGGCCTTTTGGGGAAAGGTGGCCTTTTCCCAAAACGCCAAATCCCAAACGCGGCTAATTCCAACGTTTGGGGTTTCAGTGATGGATAACTAAACACTAGAATTATGAATTGCATAATTAATTATCGGTGAATATAATGTATAATTAGAATTATGAATTGCATAATTAATTATCGGTGAATATAATGTATAATTGAATAATTAATTATCGATGAATATAATGTATAATTGATTAATATATGGGTGTGATGGATTCCTGGGTAGTAATTCTGGTACTGATCATGTTACCCGAGTGGGTGTGATGGATTCCTGGATAGTATTCTGGTCTGAGCATATGGCACGTCAACCAAGTTAATTGATCATGCTACCCGATTCTGTTAAATATGCTCGCATTTCATTACTCCTCTCAGTCTTAACCAAGTCTAATTGAGAAACTCCTCTCAAAGTGCACTTCGCTAACTGGGAGTGCAGTCATCTAATCATATCACTTCACATTTTCAGTCTCTTTGTTACACATGACATAACCCCTCTGAACGGTGAACCCCATTACAACACATGTAAGACATGTTGAGCCTCTTGCCTAAAGGACATTTATTGCTTTGGGGGGCAGGGGTGGGGGCGGGGGGGTATGGGGGGGCTTTTGATCTCTCTCAAGTTCAGACACTTCCGAGACTCCATTTCCCAAACACCAATCATGTACCTGCTAGGCATAAGAAGAAATCGTTGTATCTATTTGGTTTGTACCATCAGGGGGTTGAAACCCCTTATACCACTGGATACGGAAACATTTGTTACATCAATAATCATGCATTACAAAAACACACAATCGTAATTAGAAAAATGCACAATACAAAAATTGTGTGTTTCTATATGCATAATCACTTACCCGCAATTTATTCCTTTCTTTGATGGTTTTTTTTTTATTTGTTTAGTTTATATGTACCTAGCTAGTCACTTAGTGCACAGGGAGGGGGAGTATATGTGTGTGTGTGTGTGTGTGTGTGTGTGTGTGTGTGTGTGTGTGTGTGTGTGTGTGTGTGTGTGTGTGTGTGTGTGTAGGGTCTGGTTCCTGTGAGGTTAGGTCTTCCCGTGCGGCATACACCATTAGTTAGGCATAAATGCACCACACAGTGTTCGTAAATACACTATATGTGTGGTGTATTTTTTTTTTTTTGTGGTGCATTTTTTGGCATTTCATTTTGGTGTATTTTCGAAAACTGTATGGTGCATTTATGCATACCTAATGGTGTATGCCGCACTGACCGCACGGGAAGACCTGACCTCACAGGAGCCAATATATATATATATATATATATATATATATATATATATATATATATATATATATATATATATATATGCCATTGTTCCCGTGAGTCTACCTTTCTCCATGAGTCCGTGAGAACAGATCTAGGCCATTGAATACTTGAAATCAATGGGCTTAGATTTGATCAACTGTGCACGTCAATTGCATCTGTGTAACTGTGCACGAAAACTATGTAACTTTGCACTTTACTCGCACATTTGGCGAAATCTAAGCTATTGATCTCAAGCATCTAACGACCCAAATCTATCCACACGGACTCATATAACAAGATGGACTCATTTGATCACTAATGCATATATATATATATATATATATATATATATATATATATATATATATATATATATATAAAGTACCGATCAAATGTGAATGGAGTGCTCAGGTGTGAACATGGGGTGAGATGAGAGTCATTGATCTTGTCAAGATCAACGTCTTGGATTAACAAGGATTAAAAAACGGTGTGATTAAACAAAAATGCGGTGACAATTTGATTTTTTTGCGTTTAGGTCAAACTTAAGGTGCGTGATTTTCCTTCATAAGGTGTGTGGTTTTTGTGGTTAAGGTGCGTGATTTCTGTATTGTGTGCTTAAGGTGCGTCAATTGTTTAGGTGCGTGGTTTACCTTCTTAAGGTGTGTGGTCTGTGTGCTTAAGGTGCGTCCGTTGTTGAAACTTAAGGTGAGTTGACCTAAAGCTTTAGGTGAGTGGTTTTCCTTCTTAAGGTGTGTTGTTTTTTTTTATTAAGGTGCGTTGTTTTACTTTTTAAGGTGCGTTGTTTTCCTTCTAAAGGTGCATCGATCTAAAGCTTTAGGTGTGTGGTTTTCCTTCTTAAGGTGCACCTTTTTTTTTTTTTTTTTTTTTTTCTCTTGTAGTCCCAAAACACAACCATTATCCTTTTGCAATCATGTTTCAAAAATCATTTAATGGGTGTAGAAATGTAGGTTTTACTTAGGGATGTCAATTCTACCCGCACCCGACGGGGAACCTGATTCCTTGTCCCTACGGGGACGGGGATGTGGACAAAAATAGGGGATGTGGATGGTGATGGGGCAATTTTGAATTCCCCGCCGGGGACGGGGGCGGGGACGGGGGCAATTTTGAATTTCGTAGGTAAAAAAGCCCGCCAAAATACGGGAGTAAAATATCAAAGCCCGCCCCGTCATTTTCGCGGGGCGGAGCGGATTTACCCGGCGGGCGAAGCCCGTTTTGACGGCTCTAGTAATTCAGTATGGAGTCCATTTCTACATCCAATTATTGTATTTTTATTCTTATTATTTCTTCCATAAACTAAGCACATTAGTAACATCATATTTCACAATTAGTTCAAAATCTAGCCACACATTTCTCGTCACATGTTAGTTATGAAATTTCGTTGGACCATCCACATGATTTATAATTTGCTCTTAACTCACACAAATTATAACTTATGTTTGACACTTTTCACCTGTAATTATAACTTTAATGACATTATTAACAGTGTTTTATGTCTTATTTAAATAGTTAACATCGATTGTAAAATTATTCTGATGGGATATACGTCACATATAAGACCATTCCGATCATCCTTGAGTGTCATAAGCGTTTTTCATATCTCTTAGACTTGAGAAGTTGACTTTCCATGCATAAGCGAGTGAGCGACAAGTAACTCGTTTTCTCAGTCATCCCATCAATCCAAATCGCCTCAACACAACCATGTGATGCGGCCGGCCTCATTGGTCTATAGATAAATATAACGTACTCTTTACCGACAAAACTTTTGATATGCGTTTTCTACTCCAACGCTATAAAAGCTAATTTGTTCATCATAATAAAGGCTTTTGAACCTAGACCCTCTTAGTATTATCAACCTAACTATAGCTCTCCAACCACAAACTCTATTAATTTTCAATGTACTAAGAATCAATAGTTAATTCTATCAGAGGTCCCTAGTCTTTGGTGGCAATTCTAAATTTAGTCCCCGACTATCGTTTTTGCCATTTAACATCCCTAGACTATTATTTTTGGACAATTTTAGTCATTTTCATGACTTTTTCTATTTTTAGTAAAGACATTTTTGTCTTTTCATATTTTTCTTTTGTTATTTTTTTGGTTTCAACTGGTTTAATTGGTTTAAGACTTTACTAAAAAGCGGTTGAAAAATATTATTACTAAAAATCAAAGGTTACCTAAAGTTATAAACCAATTAAACTGGTTGAAATCGGAAAAATAATTAATATATATATATGTGTGTGTGTGTGTGTGTGTGTGTGTGTGTGTGTGTGTGTGTGTGTGTGTGTGTGTGTGTGTGTGTGTGTGTGTGTGTGAAGAGACAAAAATGTCCTTACTAAAAATAGGAAAAGTGATGAGAAGGACTAAAAGTGTCCAAAAAATAATAGTCTAGGGATGTTAAATGGCAAAAACAATAGTCTGGGACTAAATTTAAAATTGACACGAAGGACAAGGGACCTCTGGTGGAATTAATCATATATATTAACATTACATTCCTTTTCAAGAATGCATCCAATCTACATATCTACATTTAATCTATGAGATAATTAACATTATCGCATTCCTTCGTTATTAGGACTCTATGTATCTGAGTCTGTTTAGAACTTCTTATCCTTGTCACACTGTGAATCTCTACTTCTTATCCTTATCACACTATGACTCTCTATTGTATATATTCACATCATCTGATCTCATTGTAATCAAGTTCAGAAAATATAATACAATCAGTTCTCATCTTGTATCAGTTAGCTAGGGTTTTGTGATTCATAAAATCAAGAAGATGCAGCGCTGCGGTGGCAACCTTAATTACCGTGGAGGTCAGCAACGTGGCTTCGATGATCCCTGTCAAATCTGTAAAGGTTTCGGCCACTCAGGAGTCAATTGTTTTTGGCGCTATGATGATCCGTGTCAAATTTGTAAACGTTTTGGTCACACGGGAGCCAATTGTTTTTGGCGCTATAATGATCCGTGTCAAATTTGTAAAAGTTTCGGTCACACGGGAGTCAACTGTTTTCGGCGATATTCAGGGGCTCCGGGTTCTCAGGCTAATTTGGTGTTTCAGAATGGTGTAGTTGCTAAAACCTCGTCAAATTCTCATACTTGGGTTCCGAACATTGGAGCCACAAATCATGCAACTCCAAACATCGCTGCCATTTGTACATCGGAGAAGTACATTGGTAATGACACTTTACGTGTCGGTGACGGTATGGGTTTATCTATTAGTCATGTTGGCCATGCCTCTTTTAATACCCCTTCTAGATCATTTACATTGTCTGATATACTTCGCGTTCCACGTTTGTCTAATTCTTTATTATCTGTTCAGAAGTTTGCATCCGATAATAAAGTCTTTTTTGAGTTTCACCCCTCCTTTTTTGTTGTGAAGGATATCAATACCAAGGAAATACTTCTTCGGGGCAATAGTTCGGGGGGACTATACACACTTTCATTAGCTAGTTCGTCTCTGTCAGCGTTTCTTTCCGCTCGTGCCTCGGCTTCCACTTGGCACAATCGTCTGGGTCATCCTCATAACCGTGTTCTTAGCCATATACTTCGTTCTTGTTTGGTTAGTGGGTCTCGTGATAATATTCGTTGTCATAATTCTTTATGCAATGCGTGTCAATTAGGCAAATCTGCCCGTTTTCCCCTCCCTCGTGTTGCTTCCTCTAGTTCTCAAGTCCTAGATCTTATTTACATAGACATTTGGGGTCCTGCGCCCACTTTATCTACTTCTGGCTTCCGTTATTTTGTGATCTTTGTGGATGACTGTTCCCGTTATACATGGTTCTTCCCTATGAAATTAAAGTCTGATCTTTATGTCATCTTTGATAAATTTCGTACTCTTGTTGAACGGTCCTTTAATTGCCAAATAAAGGCCATTCAGTCTGATTTAGGTGCTGAGTACAAAAAGTTGCATTCTTCGTTTGTTCAATTAGGAATTCAACATAGACAATCCTATGCCTATACACATGAATAGAATGGTCGTGTTGAACGAAAACATCGTCACATTGTTGAAACTGGTCTGGCTCTTCTAGCTCATGCCTCTGTTCTTTTGAAATTTTGGGATTTTGCCTTTGAGACTCCTGTCTATTTAATTAACAGAATGCCATCTTCTGTTCGGCGCAGCCCACAGCGCCCGTGCAGCGTCCCGAGGCCCCTCATGCCCCGCGGACCAGCCTTACCCACATACGCACCACACTGGTTTTGCCCTGCCACGGGCTCATCAGGGAAGCGGCAACAGCTCCCAACCAGTTGTGCCTTTCGATCACATCAAGTCCCCTTCATAGTCAAGTCCAAGACTAGCGACAGGCTCCCCAAACTTAACCGGGTCGGCGTGCCTAACTTGGCCAGACCTTCGCGTCTAAGGCAGAACAACCCTTAACGCTATTGACGCCCCCTTCACCCGCATGGCATTGCTAACCAGTTGGCCGTCTCCACACTTTTTAGGGTCTTCGCACGGTCACGGAAAAAAACGTCTGTGACACTCTCCCCCACCCAACATCGAGCACGCCCTCGTGCTAGGGAAGAGGACTCTGCCCAAGGATCGCCGTACTTGATAGCATACGCGCTGCTAATGCCAGGACATCTCACGAAGAGTAGTTCGACTAAGCTGGCGGCCACCCGAGTCCCCATTCCCTCGAAAGGACACATCCGCCCCCTGCGGACCAACGGAGTGGAGCCTTCATCAGCACGTGCACATCCCCTCTCGCGCAACAGTGCTCGCATAATCCTCACCCCTTGAGGATCCCACCATAGCGCGCAGCAATATAAGCACGTCCCGCTCTGATACCAGTTTGTCACTCTCTGATTGTTTGGGTGGAACATCAGATAAACAGAGGGCCGGGTATTTAGTATCAACCTTTTTCTTCACCAAAATACGAGTTCCCTGACCATCAACCACATTGTCCACCATAGTCAGCAACCCATAGTGTTGAGCAACTCGGTGCGCTGCAAGACGAAGATAGGAAGTAGGGAAGTGTGGAAACTCAAACTGTTCCAAATCGGGATTTTGCAAAAACATTTGAACGTCGAGTTCCATCAGCATAATGGTGAGACGATGGCGAGGGTTTTGGAGAGCTTCAACGAGAAAAGGGTCCACCATTGACAGGTAAGCAGGAGCCATCTCCGGCGTCGAGACAACGTCAACAGAAGCAGCTGGCGGGGACACAGAACGGTCGCCATCGCGGAAGCCCGTACTCAGGTATGTTAAGGGAACAATTGATCATGGTTTGCGCATCATCTGATCTCATTGTAATCAAGTTTCAGAAAATATAATACAATCAGTTCTCATCTTCGTTAGTTAGGTACAATATAGGGTATTGTTCTTTATATAAGATTTGTTTTTTGAAGTTAATACATTTAGATTTTTTGTAATAACAATAACAATAACAACAATAACAATAACAATAACAATAACAATAACAATAACAATAATAATAACAATAACAATAACCATAACAATAATAATAATAATAATAATAATAATAATAATAATAATAATAATAATAATAATAATAATAATAATAATAATAATCATAATAATAATAATAATCATCATCATCATCATCATCATCGTCATCGTCATCGTCATCGTCATCGTCATCGTCATCGTCGTCGTCGTCGTCATCATCATCATCATCATCATCATCATCATCAAAACATAAGACAACTCCCCTCCAACTAAGACATGATTTGGTCCACCCACCTAGCGCCTAGCATTAACAATATTCCCCCACTAATGCTAGGAAAAAAAGATTGAGCTCAAACAAGAAGATCCGATCTAAGCAGTGGAGAATCAACACTTAAGCTTTGGTGTCATATGAATTGAACCAACACGTAGTGACATAAGGTATTCCTTACTTGTCGAGTGAGCAAATCTTTAACTATACAGAGACATCAAAATTTGAACCAAATATCACACATCTCTTCTCAAATTAGTACATCTTGCGGTATTACACACAGATATCCTAGAGAACCACATGATGCTCATGAGTGCTTTAGAAAGAAACTTGATATTCTTTCGTAGAAGGTGGTCAATGTTCTCACCCACGTAGGTGATCTCACACATTCTTTCTCTTTACAGACTTAAGATCAATAAGAACATTTATACTTAACCTCTCTGTTGTGGCCACTTGAACTGTTAGAATATTTTAAAATTAATTTTATTAATTAATTAGGATGATTATCTTAAAATTATTTTAGATTTAGTTTGTTAGAATTATATTATTATTCGTGTTTATCTTAGTTTGTTGGTTATGATTAGTTTATTATATTCTTAATAATTATCTAATTCATGTGGTTGTAATCTTCTTGTTAATGGCTATTTAAGGTCATTGTATGCTAAATGAAATATAGAGTTGAGAATTTTTGAGTTAGAAAACAAAGTGTTTTTTGGAACTCGGAATGAGTTCGACTGTGAGTTGGTCATGGCAAACCTGACTTATCAATTATGGAACCTCAATTGTGGCGTCAGTCTTACTTCTACGTATCACCTTATAACCCGGTGTGGCCGATGACTTATCAAAACTAAAAAATTAGCCCTTTTCGCAGCCTAGGTCAAATCTCTAGATTCGATTTCACCTAGCCTAATAAATCATTTTAAAATATTCTTTAATTAGAGTGTGAAGAGAAGATCGAGCCAACCAGATGCGCATCATTTGGTATCAGAACCCACAGTTGTCTCTCCACGAAGACTCATGGAGCTTCAACGATGCGTGGAACGTGGATTCGAGGACGAATCCCTCTAAAGAGAGAGTTCCAACCAGGTTCACAACACTCTCAATTATTAAGCGGTGAATATATTAAATCCATCTCACTAGGACCACCCATCTCATATGGTTGTTAATTCATTAAGAGTCATAGCTCAACCTCACAAGTACACACATCATAGGAAGGACCAATTAGTTTACTACTTTGTGATTCTTTCCATAGCTTCGTTTGACCACAAAGGTGGGCCACCATGAATTCATCACCTCTTGGGCTTTAAGTAATTCCATGAATAATGTAAGGACTAATCCTTATAATTAACCTTCTCTATTAAAGTAAGTCAATCATCTTGATAAAAAATTACATATACTTTAACAAGTACTTTATTTGACTAGTACATAACATCACATCCACTACACGTGTACAAGAAAATTCGCTACACGGATGTGAGTGACGCGGAAAGCATAGTTTTTTTTTTCTTTAAAATTAAAAACTTTCCACGACACTCTTTTCCCAGAGAGTGTCACGAAATGTTAGGATTCTATTTTTTAATTAAAGACTTTTCGCGACACTTCCTTTCCTAAAGAGTGTCGCGTAAAGTTAATAATATTATTATTTTTAATACAATTCACGACACTCTCTTCCCAAAAAATGTCGCGGTTTGTATTTAAAAAAAATATATTTTATTTAATTTTAAACACCTTAATTTTTTTAAATTCAAAATCCTATATAGAAATTTTCAAAACCAACAAACCAACACAACAATTTACAGAATTAATACAACAAACTATCTATTCATAGTAATTTACAAACCAACACAAAAAACTATTTACTCATAATAATAACTATCAACACAAATATCATAACAATATAGTTTGTAAATTATACTTCACAATTAACAATCAACACAATATACTTACTATCAACACATTTAAAATTGAAATTAAGATAATTATTCAACAAAACACTATATCAATTAATAATAATAAGAGTTAATTTATAAAATGGTCCTCCGACTATGACCTTTTCTTAAATTGGTTCCTTGGTTTTTAATTGCACCCAAAGTGGTCCTTCAACTATTGAATTTTAAGCCAAAATAGTCATCCGTTAGCTTTGGCGTGAAATAGGTGTTAAAATGAATGGTAAAATGAGTAATTCAGGTTTTACACTCCAATTTAATGAATCTGTGACTCCCTTTCAATAGTTTGCACATGTTTTTCTTCAAATTAGGTTTTTTATCTCCTCAATCTGCGATCAAAATGTGGGAAATCATCTAGAAGGCCAAAAAAGTTCATGTTCAACTTCATATACAAACTTCCCAAGACAGAGATTTTACTATAGAGATGTTCTTGTTCATTTTTGTCAGTGTGGCATGCAATGGAGCATCTAAGCATCATGGAATAATGAAAATCCCGGTCGGAGATTCTGGGTTTGTGGAGGAAGCAAGCAATGTTAGTCAAAGTTGTTATCTCTTTATTATTATTATTATTATTATTATTATTATTATTATTATTATTATTATTATTATTATTAATTTTACGGTTTGCAATGTTATTTTCAATTTTGATCGCAAATTAAGGAGAGTAAAAACCTAATTTGAAGAAAAACGTCTGCATGATGCTGAAAGGGAGTCGCATATTTATGAAATTAGAGTGCAAAACCTGAATTACCGTTTTGCCATCCATTTTAAGACCTACTTCACGCCAAAGCTAACGGAGACCATTTTGGCTTAAAATTCAATAGTCGAGAGACCACTTTGGTTGCAATTAAAATTCAAGGAACCAATTTAAGAAAAAGGCTATAGTCAGAGGAGCATTTTGGAAATTAACGCTAATAATAATATTAATAATAATAATAATAATAATAATAATAATAATAATAATAATAATAATAATAACAATAACAATAACAATAACAACAACAACAACAACAATAATAATAATAATAATAATAATAATAATAATAATAATAATAATAATAGCCAATCGCCATCACGGATTGAGCATCTTGTTCCTTCAACTCAGGAACACTCTCGGACAAGAACCTTGCCAAGCCGAGAGTTGCTAGGTAGAACAACATCTTTTGTTGCCACCTCTTGAAGTTCGATTCGGCATCGGTGAACTTCTCCGGCTTCTCAGCCGATCCGCTCGGTACCGAAGGTACCTGAATCATGAGAATGTATCCCTCGGTGCTCCCACCGTCTTGTGAACCAACGTTCACTGGTGGTGCCTGGGAATTCACAATATTGCTGTTGTTCCCACCATTGTTGACTTGTTGTCCGCAACAACATTTCCCTCCCCATGGATTGGCAGTACGAGGTCCTCCATTTCTTCAGTGAAATTAGAGACAAAAAGCGACCAACGGGAAAACAGAGAAAATAAGGTTTTAAGACTGATGGATATCACGTTGGTATAACACAATAATAATCCTAAAAAATAAGGATTATTATTTTATGTAGAAAAAAGGGAAGGAAAGATGAAGAGATTGGCTTGTGTTTGGTGTTGGGTTTTTAGCAAGAGTGAAGCGATCACTCTTTCCTTAAAACCTTATTTGCTACCCCCCACAAGTGCTAGGAGCATTGTAGCCTAAGCTTCCTAGGATAAAACTTGCTACGATTCAATGTTTGAGCACCCAAACAAGGAATCCGGCGAACTAGGGCTACGGGATGAACACAGTTTCGGCTAAGAAATAGTATAAGGCTTTTAATTTAGGCATAGGCATTTAATGGCACTCTTACAACTCAAGGAATCCGGCGAACTAGGGCTACGGGATGAACACAGTTTCGGCTAAGAAAGAGTAGAAGGCTTTTAATTTAGGCATAGGCATTTAATGGCACTCTTACAACTCCTATAACAGCAACCATTAATATGGATTTTAATTCAAAATTAGAACCAACTCAGAGCAACCTTTCCAATCTAATTTTTGGGAATTTGATTTGCACCGCCCTACACGCAAGAGAAAGCATCTATGCTATACAATTTAACAAGTTTAAAAAGAGCTCTTGTATAAATAGTGGGGCAAATCCTCTTCCCAAACCAATGTGGGACAAAAACTCACTTTTTTCCTTCATTTTTCCAACTCAATGAGTCTACTTTGAGAATCAATATCTCATTCACCCATTATCCGTTTTGAGCGTACAATATATCAATCTCTTCGTCTCACTACGAAGAACCCGAATCCACTTTGACCCAACCCAAATCGGAAGTGGACCCCACTAATAATTGTACCACAAAATAGCCACTTAACATGCCATTTTATACAATTTTAAGCTATTTTTTCCAACAGATTCTTGTGCTCGTCCATGACATGAATGAAATATGATGTAACGACAACATAATTTACGTTGATCATATTCGCTGAAATTTGAGTTAGACACGCAAATCCAATAGACGTGACACCAAACTGTTTACCCAACTTATTAAAAAACTTGGAAAAAAAAAAACAAATAAGAAATTTGAATAAACATTAAAAA